ACTCATTACTGACTTGGTCTGCGTGCAATTTGCAATTTCACCCCACTTCCTCAACATATCATCCATAGTGTAATCTGTGAATATTTCCAAAGATTTCAGCCATTGTACCGCCCTAAAATGTATGATAGCCCTCAGATCTGCTGTTCCTCTCTGAGTTTCTGAGAATATCCTAGAGTTTCTTTCTTCCCACAGTGTCCAACATACTGCAGCCTTTAGTCCTCTCCACATTGTCCAATTCAACTATTCTCTCCACTCTCTTGTTCTCTTCTCTTCTCCCTTGCCTCCCAGAAACCCTGATTCGACCTAGCTTTGATAGGAGCTCATTTCTATCAGTCCTCTACTGTGTTTTTGCAAGAAAAAAGCCACTTCGACTCAAGCAAGTTGAAGACCAGTTTTTGCTGAAATGGTATTGTTGAATTGGCTTCATAAACACACTAAGCTATCTTCAGTTGGAGGCTGATTTTGAGACTGATATTAGGCGTGAACTACCACTCTGGGAGCTGCGCTTTTTGTGGTCTCCGTATCAGGACTTTTGGTCCTACTGCAAATCTCAACCAATTAATCCATGCCCAAGACTCTAGATGCTGGAAATGGTTTAAGTTTGGCCTCTTGTCTCTTAAGTCTTGTTATCATGGGGGCTCAACATAGCGACCAGTTATTTCCTTGTTTCCTAGTAAAGCCATCTAGAGGTCTTCTACCCCCTCAAAGGCCAAGTTTTCACATGGATAGTAGCTTGGGAGAAGTTTCTAACTAAATAGATACTAGTAAGACAGGGGGTTAATGTTCCAGACCCCCTTTACCCCTCATGCAGGGAGGAAGAATCTTTTAATTACTTATTTATTCACTGCAGTTTCACTCATAAGATCCGGACATTTTTCTTCAAGGTTATTTCATACAAGGGATGCATGCTAGGTTCAGTTCAGGCTTGGTTACTGGGGCAGAAAGTTGCTGGAATGGGCAGGAAAGGAAGATATTTTTGGTCTGCTGCTCAATAGTTTTTTATCAGAAGTGTAATCTTTTTGAAAGAATGATTGATGGCATTACTGAGGCTCTAAGGCAATGGTTGTCAACCTCAGTCTACGTCAAAGGAAATTATTTCACATCTTTTTTGGCTGTCAACTTTTGGTGTACTATTAATACAATCTTGCTTTACCTTCAAATAAAAAAAATAAATAAATAAAACTCAGGACCAGAAGTAGTAGGTTTGATTCTCATAATAAGGTAAAATATCTCGAAATTTTAGTACTGAATCTACATTGGTTTAAGGGTTAACACCCTTTTTTATCTTTTTTTTTTGTCTTTGAAAATTAGTTTCAAAGTGGTTTCTCTTAATTTTGGTCAATGTGCTTTGGTTCATAGTCGTTAGGTTGTTATTACCTATTTCTGCAGGCAATATATATTTTTTTATCAATAACAGACTCATTAAAATTGTTAAAACAGCATAAGAATAATTACAGCAAGGAAGACAAACACTCTTATCTTCCAAATACAACTTAAACCCTCAAAAGAAAAGAAAAGGAAAAGAAGAAACAGTTAAGTTACAACTTGGCCCAAAACATTGCTTCCTTTTCTATCCCTTGTTTAGCTAATCCATCAGCTATAGAATTAGCTGATCTTTTAACCCAACTCATCCTGACTTCCATCTCCCGCATCAGCCACTTGAATTTCCTCCTCTCATTGCTATAGTTTCATAAGCCACAGTTGTCTTTAATCAGCCACCCTATCACCACCTCCGAGTCCCCTTCAATTATGAGTTTTCTGACATTCATCTCCTTAGCTTTCTGAACTCCTTCCATAACTGCCAAGATCTCAGCCCTAAGGGAGCCCCCCACTCCAATTGGGCCTGAGAACAAAGCAAAAATGATCTCGTTCTCATCCCTAAAAACACCCTCAATCCCTGATTGTCCAGGATTCCCCCTACAACTCCCATCAAAGTTTAATTTTAAGAATCCAATAGGGGTGTGTGTGTGTGTGTGTGGTGGTGGTGGGGGGGGGTGGGGNGGGTTCCAAGACACCTTCATTCAGTCCTCTCCACCTAGTCCTTCCCCTTTTCATGCGCCACCTGAAAAAAGGGGAAAAGAGACTCTACAAGTCTGATGGAGGGTTCCACCTACGCCCAAAGAGAGAAAAAACCCACTCCCAAATTGACTTTGCAAATTCGCAAGACACCAGTAAGTGAAAACCAGTCTCCCCATCCGCTTTGCAAAGAACACACCAATGGGGTGATAAGCAAGTATTGGGTCTCTTCTTTTGGAGCAAATCACCAGTGTTGAGTCTTTCCAGATAGGCTTCCCAACAAAAATTACCAACCCTAGGAGGAATTGTTCTGCACCAAACCTCATTAACCGGAAAAGAGGAGGTTGCAAGACTAGTGGACTGGCATAAGACTTTGAAGAAGGAAGCACAAGAAAAAGAGCCCATGGGGGTAGGGGTCCAAATTCTAGAGTTCACCTTAGAGGGGTCTAAGAAAACATTATCAAGAAGTTCAAGGAGGCTCAAAATACTGTCGAGGTCTGAGTCCCTCACAACCCTCCTCAGACCCAGGTTTCACCCAAACCCAAAACTAGAAGTTGAAGGGGTGATGAAAGTGTTTGTGGTCCTTGTTCTGATTCCCACATCCCATCCATTTTGCTCCATCCCATGTATGCTTGCCACTATTCTAGCCCATAGCTTCTCCTACTCCAGAGGAAACCTCCACAACCACTTCCCCAAAAGGGCCGAGTTCCTTTTCCCGATGTTCCCAAGCCCCAAACCACCATAAATTTTACTCCTAGTCACCACCTTCCAGCTAACTCTATGGTCCCTCTTCTCCTTTCTCGGCTCCCAAAGGAAATCTCTCATCAACCTCTCCAACCTACTAGAAACCTTCACTGGAATTTTGAATACTAAAAGGAAATAAATGAGCAAATTTGCTAATGTGGCCTTAATCAGTGTAGTCTTTCCACCAAGAGAGAGGTAATTCTTTTTCCAAGAGACAAGTCTTTTTTCAAATCTTTCCACCACCGGGTTCCAAAAGCTCTTTCTCTTAGGATTATCACCCAAGGGCAACCCTAGATAACTCAAAGGCCACCCTGAAACTTCACACCCAAGCACTTTTGCACTCTCCCTGATCTCTCCCTCCATATTCACTCCCACTACACAACTCTTCCCAAAGTTCACCTTCAAGTTTGACATTTGCTCAAAGAGTTAAATCACCAGTTTCAAGTTCCTGTTGAAACTCACATTACCTCCACAAAACAGGATCGTATCATCAACAAACTGTAAGTGAGTGAGTGGGATGTCCTCCCTTCCAACCCTCCAACCTCTAATGAGGCCCCTAGAATTTGCTCTGTGGATTAGTTTCCCCAGAACATCAGCAACTAGTAAGAACAAAAAAGGAGATAAGGGATCTCCTTGTCTTATACCCCTAATGGTTGAGAAGAAATCTACCACTGTCCCATTCACTAGCACTGAATAATGACAACTCCGAACACAACCCATGATCCATTTGCACCATCTAGCCCCAAACCCCAATTTGGTCATAATTTTCCTCAAAAATTCCCAATCCACCATGTCATATAACTTCTCCATATCAAGCTTACAAACCACTCCCTTCTTTTTATCCTCCTTAAAACTCTCCACACTCTCATTAGCAATGAGGATTTGATTAGTAATCTTTCTTCTACTCACAAAGGCACCTTGATTTTGTTCAATTATGTCTGACAATACCTTCTTTAGTCTCAAAGATAACACCTTTGCAATGATCTTGTACAAGCAATATTTCATTATCTTTTTTTTTTCACGTTTGGGTAAATATAAGCTTTTAGAAGGAGAATCTGACACAACCAACCAATGGACATCAGCTAGGGCTGTAATTGGGTAGGATTTGGATTGGATCAAGCCATATTAGAATCTGTTCCAATTATTGAAAGCTGAAATCTGAAACCGATCCAAAATCCAATTGGATTGAGGGATCTTTGGTCGAGGTCTTGGATTTAATCCAAGTCCACTTGTTGTCTTGAAAATAAAGGACAAAAAGTAATAAAGTTGAAAATAATTACTTTTTAACTTGTATATAATGAATTTGTACAAATATGAAGTATTGAACTTCTTAATTGTAAACTTTATATAATTATATATTATCTATGTATATACAAAATCTTAATCAGATTGGAAATCAGGATGGGTTTCAGACCTTTGAAATCCGCACAAAAAAGGGGCGGCTCAGTACATGCGTTCTTACATCATAATACAAGACCCCAATAAACTCTCCATAACTTATTCCTCCCTACTCCTCCCATAGGCACACTGTCAAACAAGGAATTAGCTGACAGTTGGATACAAAGAATGAGACATTTACTCTTTTCAACTCTGAACACAGCAGGATAAGATGATAATTGTTTCCCCTCAAAATGAAATATTCAACTACCAATCAGTCCTCAATTGTTTGACATTCTAAACATTTATGCAGATGTGAAGTTTAATACGATAAGCAATTTTTCTGACTATAAAAGGGACCAAAAGAAGAAATGATTTTATCCAACCACTTCCACCACTAGTTAATTATTCAGGCACAGCAGAGCGCCTCTAAAGCACAATTAGAATGGCATGGAAGATGTGGAACTCTCACTACTATATTCCATCTTGACACAGACAAAATTGCTTAAGAGAATCAATCTCAAGCAAAGTTGGAACATATTTGACTAGAGAAATGGAAAATCCAATGTTTTAAAATGTGGAGATGTGATGCAAGGCATTTCACTGCCTACAGGCATAAGCGCAAGCCTCCTTAAGAGGAGGGGGATGAGGAGGAAGAAGGGGAAGGAGGACAGATGAGCCCCCAACCCAAATTTCTTTCCGTTCCATTCCATTCCCTTTTCTTTCTTTTCTCTTTCTTTCTTTCTTTCTTTCTTTCTTTCCCTTTCCTTTCATTTTCTTCCTTTTTTTTTCCTTTCTTTCTGCCTTTTTTTTTGTATCAGGGGTGCATGAGGTGCATGCCTCAGAAGCATCAGTGTCTCTGGCATACACCTTAGGGTGTTTTGGAAGCACCTTGCCTGGAGGCACACCTTCAGGCGTACACCTCCATACCTTTTAAAACACTGGGAAAAGCAATAATAAGAACCCAGAAATAAACTCCACTTGTTGAGGTCCCAGTGGAGAACATATTGGTAAAAATCGTATACTGGCCGGGAACTTTGGAGATTTTTCAGCATTACTCTGTGGATGGCAAATTGGTTTGCAATAGCTTCCTCCTCAACAACAAAGACTAAACCTGCAGCTGTGTGGAGACTACCCAATTTGGGCAGATTAAAATTGAATTTTAACAGGTGCAGCATTGGAACCCAGCTCATTTGGTGTAGGGAGATTTTTCAGGAACTGACATGGACTCATTCAAGCACTATAATCAGGACCAATAGGAAATGGGTATTTTATTATAGCAGAGTTATAGGCAGTATTCCATGGCCTTGCGCTGGCCAAGTCACTCAACTACAGTGGGCTACAGGTTGAAGGGGATTCAAAGGTTGTAATTGAGCGGGTAGAGAACAATACAACGGGAGTATGGAAACAGAAAAACATACCAAGGGCAATATCTAAGATATCTTCAGAAAATGGAGCACAGTTCAGCTGGATTCCAAGGACTGCTAGCCACCTAGCAGATGACTGGTAAAATCTGGGGTACATAGAATTTATTGGTATCAAGGTACAAGACCAATATAAAGAATGGGGTTAGCTGAGGATAACCAAGAGGGGAGCATGGTATTTAATTTTTAACATATTTCTTTTATTCAATTATTAAAATCTGCTTTTTCCAGTCAAAATAAATAAATTTCCACTGTTTCAGGTCACAGATGCCTTGCTTGTGTATTGGAAAATGGAAGTGGTAGACTTACAAACAATAGGAAAAAACAATGATGACAAGAAAGCAAAGAAATCCCCGAAAAAGCATACAACTCGAAAGTAAAGGATGGAAAGGTTCATTAAAGGGAAATGGAACTCAAGAGTACCTTGGAAACCATCATTCTTGGCATACTTCTCACGTAAAGTATTAACAAATATATGATAAGGGCGCCAGCCACTAGGATCCTCATCTGTGTTGACATTCTCTATTCGTTTTTGGACATCCTTGAGACTACATTCAAACCAAGTTGGAATTAAAACATGACTTTAAAAATGTCCCAGAATAGAACATTTATACATGATAATGGTAAGAAAACAACTTTATCCTTACATGTCTAGGACATCGGAATTTGGAAGTTTGGATACAAACTGAAGTACAGCTCCTTCCAAGAAAGGCAACTGCTTAGGAGCATCTATGAAGGAAAATGCAACAGCATCCCTTACAATTTGTAAGATGTCTGCCCTATGTTTGTTTCGAGCAGCACCCACAAATGTTCCTGAGAGCCGAGAAGCAAGATCCTTACAGTCTAGAAAGGACTTGCTTGATGAGGAATCATCATCTCTTTTAGAGACTTCCTCCACATGCCGATGATAGGCCTAGACGAAGAAAAAATTAAAAAAAAAACAAACAAGAGTATAAATATCTTTACTAAACAATAAAGAAAAAGGAACATGAGAAGATCAAAGCATAAAATAAGGCTGCATAACATCCTAATAAATTTTCCTAGACCAAGACCAACCGAAGATTCGGGTGGACATGTAACCAACTCCAAACCAGACAAGCTTGATGAGGTGCAACTTTTCCCTAAAACTATAATACATGGTAGTTTTGTTAAAAATAAAAAGGATATTTAACCATGGAAACTTATCACCCTGCTTGCAACTAAGTAAATTTGTGAAATATTCTCTGAAAGAGATCATAATAAAGAACAAGCAAAGACATGAGAACCTAAAGTCAATCAAAAGACCAGAAACATCTCCTAGTCAAAGCTGTAAGCCCTTCTTTGAGACCATGTCCATTGCAAGAAAGGATGAGATTTCAAGGCAAAATTTTGGGCTCCAGCTAGGCCAAAGTTCCTGAATGTTACCCTCTTTAATGCTTCTAGAAGGAGACCAGGGACATCATCTGTAGCAGTTTTCTTTAGAACAGTAATAAGATGCTTGACAATCTCTGCCACACTTGGACCATGCATCACAAAATGAGAAATGATCTCTGGACCAAGAAACTCCTGCATAAATATTAGCCATGGCATGTCATATTAATGATAGTTAATAAGAATATAACATTCTATAATCATGAGAAAAAGATCAGTTGGAGGGATTGTGAACCACTAGCACAACAATCAAAGGGCAAAGCCCTATATCAAAAATTTCCAACAAACAGGATTATCACAATCATATAGCATTCATAATTTTCAAAAGTTTCTCATCTACTCTGTAAAAGTAAGAGAAACCCTCAATAGCATTGAAAAAGGCATTTAAAAAAAGAGACATTTTCACCTTAGGAACCGTATGGGTAGCAATCAACTTTGCTGCTGCAATCATGACAGCATCACGATTTGTCTCTTCAATGTATTCCTTATTCAAATCCTCGTCTTCTGTCTCATCTGTTGGTATATACATCAAATCATAATTTAAATTCTCATACCAAAAAAGGGCTAACCATAAAAAGATGAATTTAAATAAATTAACAAGCTCAAAGTCAAATGGCAGTCATCACCTATGGCTAATTAGAATAGTTTTATTTTGAAGATAAATAAAAAAGAAATTTCCTTAATTCAAATGAGAGTACAAGAAGAGGTGATGAGAAATCACTAAACAAAAGAAACAATAGCTTCAAAAGAAAAATTATACCAATTACATCAAGGCCCCCTTCCAAATTCAACCAAGGCCAAAAAACAGCCCTAAATGACTATCAAGAAGCCCCAACAAACTCGAGGAGGATCAAAATCCAATCCCGAATTCTCCTACCAATTAATGAACATAGTTCCTCCTTAGATTTTGCATTGTCCTCAAATATTCTTCTATTTCTTTCCTTCCAAATCTCCCAACATACAGCAAAAGGAATACAGGGACACACTATTTTTGCTTCCTTGCTCCCATTCAGGATTCGCCAGCAAGGAAAAATCTCCTTTGAATCTCTAGGACGACTCCTAACCATGCCCAATAGCCCAAAGAAGCCCCAAATACAGGATGAAATTTTGCATTGATCTAATAGATGAAGAACAGATTCTTCAGCTTCTCCACACACAAGGGTGGAGAAGGGTGTACATATTGCCTATGGATTGAATATCAAGACAAGGGTGTACGAGCATGAGTACCAACCCAAGTGACCAAGTGTGGAGATGGAGCAAATCTGAGAACAGGACTGGGAGTATTTAAGCACTACATTGAAAGGGTTTGAAGGTCTAAAACACTTCTGAAGCTTTTGAGAAGAGGAAAAAAGGCATATAGGTAGGCTTGACAAAGTGCATTTGATTAGAATAGCTTACCTCCTTTAGAAAGGAATTTCACCTTCAATGTAGATAACCTTCTCTCAAGTCTCAAAACACTCAACAATCAGACTCAAAAGAGAACTGGAAGTGTGCCTGGCTCCAAGTAGCATGCCCAAATACTTAGGGACTGCTTGATAACAGCTGAAGTTGCTAAACTAAAAGGCATTGCTTTATCTAGTTGTTAAAATAATTAAAGAATAATATTTTCAAGGATATAGTGATCTACCCAACTTCAGTTCAGCTATTAAGGAGCCCACAAACTCCTTAAAAACTTATTCACTAAAAGACAAAGTAATAAGCTTTTCAGTTTAGCATCTTCAGCTGTTATCAAATGGCCCCTTGATCAGAAGATATCTTACACTACAACCAAATTTGTTAGTAAGGTTTCTACATCAGCAACCCAACCCACCAGAATAATGAAGTTCTTTCTTAAATTAATTCTCAATTCCAAGACAACTTCAAACCAGCAGAGATTCCAAGGAGATGCATAGTAAGGTGCTCAAAAGAAGCATCAAAGAAGAAAATGGTATCATCAACAAATTGGAGGAGGTTGACTTCTTTTTTATTTTTTATTATTATTATTATTTTTTTTATCAATAAGGAGGTTGACTTCAGGGGCACACTTACCTACCCCAAAACCAGCAATAAAGACACTCATTGCCACTTTTGATGTGAGCTTGGCATAGGCCTCCCTCACACAAGTGAGGAGAAAAGGCAAAGTGGATCCCCCTATCAGATCCCCTTAGAGCTCTTAGAAAAGCATATCAGAGCTCCATTTAGGAGGATTGAGAATCTAGGGGTGGAGACAAAAACTTTTATCCAACCCTTTTAGTAGTCAAAGCTTTTCTGCCCAACATATGTCCCAGTTTCTAGGAATCACATTTTATAGGCAATTCTTCTTCTGAACATTAAAACTTCAATTCTAGGCCAAAGAAGCATCCTGGTCTCTGGTTAGAAAATCTTAGTCATTAATACAGATAAGAGTAACTTATTTTTCTATCATCAACAATTATATCTAAAGCGGACTTCACAGGATAATCACAACCATCAGACTAACATTAAGATGTATCATCCCCAATTCCTTACAACCAAAAAACAAAGGTGGCCCATCACTTACAATCACTCTACCGAATAATGGTGTTTTAAACTACAACAGCCAGCAAGTGGTTCACAACCCACAACCAGTGGTAGGTCCTACACCCTATGTCTGCACTTCTGTCTTGGCACAACTTTTACGAGAATCTATACTACTATAAAATGTACAAATAGGGTCTAAGATTTCTGGAATTTTTTTAGACTAAAATATCCCTTTTTTGAAATAGGAGTCCCTATCTATTATAATACTAATATTCATTGCATTCAATTCTCTCTCATTAAATTCCATTTAAGGTATTAATTCTCATTCACCCTCATTTAACCATGCATTTAAGGCATTTTTGTTTCTTTTAACTACTAAGTTCCACTAATTAAATCCATACATAAATAACTCTAATAACATAAAAAATTAAACAATTTTGGGTCAAATAGGCCAACCCATGTTGCACTGTTGCCACAATTAAATAATAAAAATTAAAACTCGAAAAAATGCAAAAAATATGGAAATTAAAGAAAAATTTGGGAACATTTTTAATATCATATATTCATCATACTAGACAAGAATAAGTATGATAAATAAGAAAGACTTTTATTAATGATGGAAATTGAATACAAAATTTAAAACTAATTGGAAATAAAATTATTTTCTTATTCTCTCTTCTTAAGTCTCATATCTAAGGCATATTCTCTCCTTAAATCCTATATTTAAGATATATTTTTCTCATCATTAAATTCTATTAATTAAATCCACAACATTGATTTTAAAAGTATAAAAATAAATACTTTGAAAAATAATTTGAAAATAAAACCGTTTTCTTCCCTCCCAGTGGTGGGTAAGCAATTTAACCATTTGGGTCAAATGAGTTAACCAATAATGCCATAATTAAATAAATAATCAAAATAAATAATATATAGGAATTAAGCATATCTCTAATATTATATATTCATTATACTAAATAAAATTAAGTATGAAATGTAATAAATATTTTTATTAACGATGGAAATGGAATTACAAATCTAAAATAAACCTTGAAATTAAATTAAATGATGTAATAGTGAAATAATAAAATTTTTATAATAAAAATACAAAAAAAAATCACAAAAATGAAGAAAAAATTAGAGAACACATTGGGCACATATTTGATGTTATATGTTTATAAAAAAAAATATTGAACAAAAATAAGTATTATATATAATTTTATCAATGACGGAAATGCAATAATAAATGGTTTGGGTGGTGGGTTAGTGGTTTGGATTAAATGGATTAACCAATGATGTTATAGTAAAATAATAAATTTTAAAAAATAAAAAAGGCATAAGGAATCAAAAATATAAAAATTATAAAAAAAATTGGACACATATGTAATATTATATATTAATTATATCAAATAAAAATTAAGTATGATAAACAAACACTATTTATATAATGTAGATGAAATATATAATTTAAAATTGATATGAAAGCAAGGCTATTTTCCTATCTAGATGGTGGGTTAATGATCAAACTTTTCAAATAAACTCATGGTGATGCCATAATTGAATAATAAATATTTAAAAAAGATAGAACATAAAAAATGAAAGTATACAATTTTGTTGAAAACATTTGGGGACATTTCTAATGTTATATATTCATCATATTAGATAAAAAAATTGTTAAAATAAAAATTATTTTTATTTATGATGGAAATAGAATATAAAATTAAATAATAATAATAATAATGGTGATAATAATAATTGTCATTGTAATTTAAAATTTCAACGTGCAATGCACGTCAACATTTACTAGTTAACTAAAATATGTAGATAGGGAGAAATGATTTGCCATATGCACACATCTAAAGAAGAATCAAGTGCAGCACACAAGTGTAAAAGAGAGAAGTTACCAGGAACACTAAGCTGTTGTTCACAAAGTTCCCAGAACTTTTGAAGAATAGATGCACCAGGGCAAAAACCTAGTCCTTCCAGCTTTGTTGAAGAAAAATTTGTCTTTCTGAATAAGCACCACATTTCTGCAAGTATAGTGCACACCTAGGGGATAGCAAAGAATTGGTGAGGACCAAAACTGGAGCACTTTCTAAAACTTGCAAGACAAGATTCGCCAATAGACCACATCATGGCAAACAAAACAATATTTTAAGATAAAGTCAAGGAATCAGTTTAGGTTATTGCTTACTCTACATGCAAGCAGATTTACTTTCTTTCCATCTTCCTGGGATTTAGGAGGATTATGCAGAAAGTACTCAAGTTGCTCAAACAAGGTGGTCCGTTTGGATAGTAGAGAAGTTAGAGATGCTTCAGAGATATTTTCACCATTTATAATACACTGAAGGCACCAGGCCACATGCAAATACATATTGAGAAGCAGAAAACCTACAACCTGGAAGAGAGTAAACATGATCATAGGATGAGGTAGAAAGCCCCCAAAAAAATCATTTACATATTTCTTATAACGGGTTTGACTACATACCTCATGATCCAAATTTGTTGACTTTCCTAGAATGCTGGTCATATCCTCAAATAAGCTTTCAATAGGTACAGATTTTGCCAGTTGAAGCTCATACAACCTTTTCAAATTAACAAGAAGGGAATATTCATCATCACCCTCCTGCAACAACGGCAAGGATATTTTAATCCAACAGCCTAACCAAAGATGAAAAAAGGACTGATTGTTCAAGAGATAGATATACCGCTACTTCTTTTATTGCAGATTTAAGTTTTGTCATGAGCTCATCCTCAAGCTCCTTCAATTTGTTCTGGGCAAAATCTTGCAGCTCCCCTTGACTCTCAGTTGAACAAAAGATGATAGCCTTTACACAAGATCTCAATGCATCCTTTTCTCCATGTTTAAAGAATGCGTCTTTGATGAGCTGGAGAACAGTTTTAAAATTCTGAAAGAGCAATAAAGTAATGCTTCACTTAGTTACCAAGTTTTAGGTTGTGAGCCATGTAGAATGATTCAGCATGAGGAGTATATGCTGGGGCCCACCTGTTCTTGTCTCTTCAATGAATAAAGCTCAAGTTTGAAATACAGAATAATTTCAACAAGTGACGGCACTTTTGCTTTGTCAGCCATGAATTTGCGTAAGAGCTGGGGAAAATTTTTCATCATGGCAACAGTTATATCCCTTCTGTTATTTTCAAATATTTCCTGAAATTTGGCACATTATAAAATTTATCAAAAATCAACCTTCAAAAATAGAAAACAAGCAAGCTTTTCACCACCTGATAAATCCAAGGAGGTTAATAAAACCAGCTTGCGCAAATACATACACAGCCACTGGGAGAGTTGGAGGCAATTTCATAAAACAAGTTAAATAATTTGCCTAGACTAAAGTAAATTGACTTTCAATATTTTATCCTTTTCTTAAATGCATAAAATAAGCATTCATCTTTTTCTACACAATGTAGGAACCAGAAAATAAAACAAAAAAGGATAACTATAAAAGTTTCCTAGGTTGAATCAAAGACAACAAAAACCATTTATTTTTATTACCTTTTGAGCTTTATTATAATATTGTTTTCGATTGTCGGTAGCAGGTACAATCCTCTCACCAACAGCTTTTCTAGCAGATGCATAAAGCAATCGAACCAGATTTGTTGCATCCACATCAGTAAGTTCAATTAAAGGATTCTCATCCAGAAGCATAGGGACAATGCACTTCCAATCCTACAACAGAAATGGAGCACCTTTTTAAGAAATAAGAAAAAGGCATAAAATATTTTAAGAACATTATCAAATACTGTTTGAAAGTGATGATGGTAAGTTAACATAATTTCTCATCATTTGAAAGTTCATAAAACAAAGTGAAAAAAAAAGGGTTACCAGGAAGCTAATATAGGCATACCTTCATGGCTTTCATGTAGTCCCAAACATCATCTATGACATATGTGCATAGAATTGGATCTGTTGAAAACTCCCTCAATATTTGCAACATTCTACCCAGGTGAACCTCAGAAGAATCGTTCTCATCACCTATTAACAATTTTGGCAGGATCATGAGTTCCATAGAAAAGTAAAATAAAAAAAAAAAAATCAAGTTAATCCACATAGCATTATAATGCTTTCTGTTAAAGGCAATACTTTTTGACCCTGATTGAGAGCTGCTAAACTTTTGAGCAATCAGATGATCATATACCAGTGCTCCTATGGCATGTCTTATCTCCGCTGGTTCATCAATAAGCAGATCATATAAAGGACCTAAGTCATCATCAGAAAGTAGTTGATGTCTGCAAAGTACCATAACACAACACCAATTGCCATTACATAAACAGATTAACCGTGTATGGAAAAGCAAATGCTTCAAAGAATGTTTTCAGGCTTGGACTATACCAGATGATTGAACCACCAGAACTGGGAAATGGCAGCCAAAACAGTTTGCCTAGTTCTTATAAATGTTGACTTGGTCAAATTTGCCCCATGTGCATATATGTTTTAATCTTTATTGTTTTAAGCTTATTTTGATGCAAAATAGATTTAGAAGATAATCTAGGACCATTTCCAATTTCTTAACTTTTTTTGTTTTTTCACATTTTTTTATTTGAACTAGTCAAACAGTTGAACAGATGGTTGAATCATTCAACCTGTGACCTAGTCAGCATAACAGTTCTCTCTCCAGTCTGATTCTGACTAGGGATGTCAGTGGGCTGGTAAGTGGTAGCCTGCATTGACCCAACCCTCTCAGGTTAGGATTGGGTAAACCTTAAATAAGGTTTCAGGCCAGGTTCAGGTTGAGGCCGACATGTGCTGAAGCCTGCTACCATTATGGCATCAAAACATTTATACATATAGCACTGGTTGAGCATGGGTGTACTATTTGCTGTGCAAGCCTGGTCAGGTTTGGTGTCCCACTTAATAATATTAATCAAACTGGGCCAGACCAAGCCCAGGCCATTAGCATCCCCAACTCCGATGGCATTGTTTCAAAAGATAAAGGTTAAAGACAAAATAGTTACCTTAACAGTTGTTTTACAAGCCCTATGGCAGCCACAGCCACAGAAACATCAATGTCATCAGCAAGCTCAATCATGCGGTTTGAGAATCTTTCTGTGAAAAGGCCAAGAGATGGCACATTATCATCGACCTCATAAAGATTTTGCAATGCAAGGATGGAAGTTTTCCTTACACCAGCACTCTTTGCAATTAGAAAAAAGAGCTTGGTTAGATTCGAAAAATAAGCAGTGGTAGGAAAACCTAATTCACAAGTTACTTATCAAAAAAATAATAATAATAATTCACAAGTCACTTGAAATAAAATGACTTACTTTGTCATTTAATGTCCATCCAAGGTACTTCAAGTACAAGTCCTGCAAGAACAATGATGGGTATGACACGATCCATACACCAAGAGACTCTATGCATGCCATTCGGATATTAGGATCAACATCACGATACCGATGTACAAATAACCTTCAAGATGAACAATTTTAAGTGTTTAAGAACATTTAAAGATAAGATAGCAGCTTTGATTGGAAAAGAAGTTTTTAGCTCCAAAAGTAAAATCAATAATAATAATAATAACTTCCATTTATCTAACCCTGTAAATGTTTTGCGCATCATTTCCTCTATCACAGTGATCTTCTCATGAGTCATCGATAACCTTTTATTCAGTGACTCTACACGAGGACCCTCGTTCCGCTTCTTTTTTTCAGTATTTAATTGTCTCTGAGTAGTCTCACGCTGTGCACCAAGTGTTTTAGCAATATTTATGAAGGATGTGACAAGCTGGAGACCAACCAATGAAGCAACCTGACGATAAACTCTTGGAGGAGTGCTTCAGCACATGGAGAACATGAAGTTTCAGCCATAAGACATAACATTTACATGTAAAATGAGTATTAAACAATCAAATTCAACTTGAAAATGATAACAGCCTACCATGACAGTGCAATAACATAGTCCATCAACTTGTCAAACAAAACCTGATCAAACAATGGACCATTTTGACACTCAATGACCAAATTGTCCCAGAGAGAAATAAAGTTTTCTTTGAAGTTCTTGAACTCTTTCAATTTGGAATTGTAGTAATCTTCTACTTCGCCCTAAATTATTGAAGAAGTTAAGGCCAAACTCCAATCAAGTGTAGGTGAATTAACCAAATATTAGCAAGGCAAGTTGTTACTATGAAGATAATGCACTTAGGAACATGAAGCAAGTAATAAATCAGGGCCACTGATGAAGCATAAAAAGAAGGATACTCTCCTAGCAATGTTAACAAGTGCAACCACAACATCATCCACGTCAGTCTCATCCAGAAAATCTTCTTTGAGTTTATATTTAGCACCACAGGCCTGTTCATTTGCCAGTTCCATCAATTCCAGACAACACCATAAATGTAAGGCATGCAAATAGCAAGTCATTAAAAAAGACAAATACAGGCATCCCTTGCTTAGGCTTGATAATTAATCAGGGATTACCAATAATGCAGTTTTCTCTTTTACATTCTTCACTTTCCATTCCTTCTTTGTAAGTTTCCTTTTTTACAGTACCATCTACTAAATAAAGTACTAACAAGAACAATACAAAAGAAAATAAAAGGAAAAAAAGATTACCTCAAAAAGCATCATCAAGAGTTCAACCATTGCAAGTTTAGGATCCCTTTCATACCGCTCAACCCAATGCTTAACTGCTTGGGGAATGAGCTTCCCATTACCTTTGACCGCTTCTAAAGAAAGGCCTTTACACAACAATTTTCAAGTTGTTAAGATGTAACAATCACCATCTAGAACACAAACACAAACATTATCGAAAAATCAAGTACAAGTAGATGGATTATGACAACATAAACCATAAGCGTCACATTTACAATTAAGTTTAGGAACTTTTTTTGGTAAAAAATAAAAATTTATTAGTAGAAAAAGGTATAATTGAGGGTGATGACCAGATCAACAAAACAATACAAAAAGTAGGAAATCAAAGAAGAAAATGCCAAAACAATAGCCAAGAAAAGAATTTGACTCTAAACCAACTCAAGGATATTCCGAAAACCAGCACCAAGATCTTCTTTTGAAAACCCCTCAAGCTCTGGAAGAATGAGAGCCCAATCCATGCTCCTTTTACCACAAAGAAGAATGATATGGTCCCTTGAATGAAATTCATATTCAAAGATTCTCCTATTTCTTTCTTTTCATGCTTCCCTCACACCTGGCCACCTAGAGAATAACTCTTCTGCGAACAAGGGTCCATCAACTAGCCTTAAAGAACCCAAAGAAGAAATCCCAGATGGATAAGGGCAGTCAATAAACAAATGATAAACATTCTCCTCTACATTCTCGCATAAGTAACATCCGATAGCCAAGTGGAAGCCTCTATTTTGAATATGATAGGGCCAAAATGCTGTCCAATGCCACGAACCAAGCAAAAGCTTCCACCATTGGAAGCACAGGGTTTCCTTAAATCCCTTTTAATTCAGAGCTTTCTCCATCATTCCTTGATAGAGCCTTGTAGAAAGATTTAACAGAAAAAGGACATTTCTAGATTCTTCCCACCATCTTGAATCCTTCCTTTCCACTTGTGCTTCGACTGACTATAGCTTTGGATGTAACTCTACACATTCCCGAATTCCCCAGTCAAAAAACGGATCTTCTAAATTTTGGACATCACAATGCTCTACCTTGATTGATCTCAAAATTCTCCATGACAGTTGTTCTTCTTACCCAACCTATACAACTGTGGGCAAAGGTTACACAATTTTAGTCAATCACCCAGAATTTAATTGTTGAGCCATCTCCAACTTTGAACAATACGAAATTGAGGAAAGCTGACTGGAAGCGCATAATGCCCTTCCAAAAACAGTCCATAAGGGGTCTTCACTTCTCTAGAATCCCACCCAAACCCAATCACCCCATATTTGCACACCACCACCCTCCTCCAAAGAGCCTCCCTCTCAAAATGAGATCTCCACAGCCATTTCCCCATAAAAGCTTTACTAAAATGCTTCAATTTTCTGATTCCCAAACCCCCATCTTTCTTTTCCCTGCAGACCCTCTCCCACTTTACTAAATGACATTTCTTTTCAAGCCCTTTGACCCCCCCCCCCATAAAAACTCCCTTTGCATTTTTTTTCTATTGAGTTTATTGCAGAAGCTGGAACTTTTAATAATAAAAGGTAATACACTGGTAGATTAGATAGCACACTCTTAATAAGAGTTATCCTCCCTTCAAGTGAAAGATGCCTCCCCTTCTACCTACCAATCTTTGATCAATTCTGTCAAGGACTGGTTGCCAGGTAGAAGAGACCAAGGCTTTCACCCCCAATTGGGAAACCCAAATAAGTAGAAGGGAACTCCCCCACCAAACAACCCAAAGTAGCTGCACAATCTTCCAAAACACACTCAGAAATATTTCCTACCCCAATCATCACACTTTTCATCAATTTGATCTTTTTCCCTGCCAATATTTCAAAGAACCTTAGGATCACTCTTAATTTCAACACTTGCACAATTGAAGCATCCAAAAATATCAAGGTGCCATCGGCAAACGGGAGGTGAGTAATGGGAACTCCATTTCTACCTGCTTTAAAGCCTTCAAAACATCCTAACTTCTGCTCTTTTACATAATAACTGACTTAAGACTTCTGCCACCAAAACAAACAACAAAGGAGACAAAGGTCTTTGTCTTAGATAGAGGGTCTCCACTTGTGCTTTGGCTTACTATGCAATTAAGCTTAGGTACTTCATGATTACACTAACAAGAATAAATTTACTCCTCTAAATGCTAAGACTACCAGTCTACCACATCAAAGCATATAAGATTATAATAATTACTATAAATTGTAGAACTATCATTTGTATCCAATTTGAAACTCAAGTTGTAGAAGTTGATTTTGTGTAACAGTGGTTATAATCAGGCTTTGCCCTATGGCTTCAAAAGAAAATAAGGGGAGCCTTTTTTATTTGATCAGTAATGATCATGAAATTTATTAATAGTAAACATATATGTACAAGTTGTAGATCCAGTCAATACAAGATGTAGTCCTTGCTTTTGATTTCTATTAACCCCTTGTTTTGCTAAGGCATCAACCAAAGAATTGTCTTCTACATCGCTCCCTCTTCATTCAATAGCCACCCTATTACCACTTTTGAATCCCCTTTAATGACCAATTTTTTGCAATTATGCTCTCTTGCTCTCTGTACCCCTTCCGGTACTGCCAACAATTCTGACTCAATGAGTCCCCTCGGGTCAAAATACATAGCTACCACACAGTCCTTCCAAAAAAAACCCTCCTATTCCTGAAGGCTACGAGTGGACACAAATTGAGATTTTGACAAACTATTTGGGCTCGGCTCGTGAAAAGTTCATTTCGGCTCGATCTAAACCATGCTTCAAGCTGTGCTCAAGCCCAATATATAGGCTTATTTGCTAATCGAGAAAAGCTCGAGCCCAATAAAGTTCGGCTTGTGAGGCTCGCGAGCCTAATCAAGCTCTTACATATACACAATTATACATATATATACATCATACATACATATATATTATACATATAAACATATTATATATAATATTTTTTCTTTTTATATGTATAATAATAACTAGTTTTTATAGTTCTTAATTTTCATATGCAAAATAGAAAAACATTTTTTATATGCATGCCTTTTATTTTTATAGAATGATTGACTCACAGTCAAGCTCGAACCTACAAGCTTTTGAGCTCAAGTCTCTAGATTGCGTCGAGCTTGAGCTCGAGCCTTGTAGTTTTCTGGCGAGCCGAGCTCGAATAGCCAGATATTCGGCTCAGCTCAGATCAAATCTGCCCCTATTGAAGGCCCCAAGTTCCCCATACTACTACCATCAAAATTATATTTTCTTTAATTGTTGAGATGCCACTACTTAAAAACAAAAGCATTCTGATAGTTACCAGCAAATGCACCAAGAAATTCTTAATGCTAACACCTTAACAAGGAAAGAATACTAAAATAGCTTCACTACACCTAATATCATATTTTATTTTTTTCTTTTTTATTTTCTTTTTCTTTTTTGGTGAGCAACGGTGAAGGATTCTTTCCCTATTAGAACCATGGTTTTGTCTCACAAGATGTTGACATGGCACTAATAATCATGAAAAATTGGAGAGTCCTAAACGTTACCATGGTTCAAATGGGTTGGCCTCTTTTGCAAAAAACAACACTTTTATTAAGAAAGAGATGAAAGGACCAGTTTTTTTTTCAAAAGTACCACAAACCAACCACACTAAATTGAACACAAGAAGATTGATGACTAGCTTTTTGAAAATCCTAAAATTTAGGTCCAATGATTCCATACTCAATTAAAGAAGCAGAGGATTCCACCTGAGGAACAAAAACAATTAAGGACCAGCCAGTTTTGAGATTAATGCCTCACCTTCCCAAGTGAGTTTTGTTCAGAGATCCCTGTTTCATTCTAAAGCAGCCCTCTTTCTAGGAACACTCATGCCAATTACTTCATGGTTGATTAGCTGATTGGTGATCAGTGGGTTATATGGGCATATTTTTAAGTGACACAAAAATTCCTTAAAATAAAGGAAAAGGCATACAAGTAGTATACAAAAAAGGAAAAGTAAGAAAACAGGAAAACTGAAGCTCTGGACACAGAAATAAAAGACCCCAAAAATACTAGATGCAAAATTTACAGGATCTACAGAGAAACACTTCAAGACCACAACCTTTGCCACAAGAGCACCCCATCTAATAGATTCCTCAGCACTTCAAATTCAGTTACACCACTTGGAAGTCCTTTCCAGGGTCATGGAATTTATTATGTTGTCCTGTGGATCTCATTGTACCTAACCCCCTGTCTTTTGCTCCTTATTGTGAGGGTTACAGTTATTTCCTTTCTAATTCCTAGAAATTATTTTGAAAGAGATTATGCTACCAATGAAAAAATAATCTGGAATTATATTAACAGGACCATTATTGAGGATTTTAACCAAGTAACTAGTGGTGAATGTGATTCCTGCCCTACTTCATGTTTGATGCTCTATCCTATTAACAGTCTAAATTATAATTTATAAATGGATTATTTATTTCAATCTTGTAACTACTAAGAAGACATAGTTCATGGTAGCTAATTGGCTCTTCAATAGAGCCGACATAATTCATGACAGTGGGAGCTTTCTCTTATAGTTATGATACACCTATAAGATTCAAAAGAGTAGGATACTCCAAATTTTGTGGTCAAAGAGTTTGACAAATCATTCTTGATGGGAAAAAAAAAAGATGTGAGTGAAAGATCCCACTGAATCAAATATAGAAATTTGGTCCATGAATTAAGAAATAGTGAGAACTATTAATCTCTTTGAGAACCTCTCTAATTTCCACTGCTGAAGAGGATTTCTTACATGGAATTCTTCCCACCAAATTCTTTGGTGTGGTTACCAGGAGCTTCAAAGATTTGGAATGAGCAATCAAAAAAAGTGGATCAAAACAATTCCCCAATCAAACAGCTAGAGCACAACTATTAACTTTTTTTGAGGAAGGTAACTATTTCATTAACAGCGGGGCAGGGGTGAGTACATGAGAGGGTGTACAACAAAAAACAACTAATCCCGCTCAAAAAATAAATAACTATTAACTTACTGAAACACCATGATGTTTCACACTGAAGTCCAATTAATGCTGTGCACCAAAAGAAAATTTATGTGTAATCACGTCAAAAAAAAAAAAAAAAAGAAATGGAAAAGAGACTCAAGTCTGATGAAATTAGATCTCTATGACAACTTAAATACCGACTCTTCCGTAACATTTACATTTTTTTTCCTTGTGAAGAACTACACTTCAAACAAAAATGGGGATCATTAGGTCAAACAGAACTTAGCAGCTAGTTACGAAGAGCAAAATTTAAAACCCCGCAGATTATAAACGAATTATGTACCAATCGGGTTACGATCAGCTTTCCGCGACGCCTTAGCCTCCTCCGAGATACGCTTCTTCTTGGCTCTGGGACCGGCCTCTTCGAATTCATCCACGGAACCTTCAGGGGACCCCTGTTCCGCCTCATCCGGGCTCTCTTCACTCGCAGCACCGGTCCGGTCAGGCTTTTTCCCAAATTCCCTAACCCTTTTCTATTTATCAAAAAAAAAAACAGTAAAATCATACCCTGTAAGCTAAAAGAAATAAGCTATTGCTGAAAATTCAAAGAAAAGGGCCTAAAGAGAAGTAAGAAGTAGATTTGAAACTAACCGAAGCGCGGGTTGATGCTTCAGAAACGACAGCCGCTTCCTCCATACCCTAAAATCTCTATTAGCAGAAATTTTCCAGCTGAAAGGAAGAAATTCTAAGCTTCCACAGAAGAGAAAAAAAAAATGAAAATAAAGATGGAGACGAAATTTAGTATCTATCTCCCGCCAAATGAACTAATGGGGAGTAGGAGCAGGTGGAGCACTGGAGTCAAATGGCCGCTCGCACATCCTCGGCTTCCTTTCTGATCTTTACTCGACATCCATTGTGACGTCAGATCGATTCCAATCTGACGTTGCATGAAGCATGTCATCAGATCCGTTGATGCACTTTACCAAAAAAAATCCATTAATGTTTGGATTGGGGTGAGGAGTGAGGACAGGATACTGAAGAGTCGAAACGTGGGCCGGAAACCACGAGTAGTGGGTCTCAGACTCTCAGACCACCCTTGTCAAATATGGATTCAAGATTAAGTGGATATTCCATAGGGAAGATTCATATCCAGCCCATTTAATAAAAGCCCAGATTAAATCAAACCTTTCATTTTGTAAATACATCTATTAGTCTCTGGACCCGTGCGATGCACGGGCTTTAAAACAATTAAGGAAGGAGCCTTGACATTCCCAATTAAGTAGAAACCATCTAAGTCCATGATATAATCAGAGTGTTTTCCTATAAGGGAGATTTATTGGGAAAACAAATGCTATAAAAGATTATATGGCCATTAAATTAGATATGAGTAAAGGATATGATAGAATAGAGTGGACTTTCTTGATAAAAGTTTTGAAAAATTTTGGGTTTGGATAGACATGGGTTAAAGTGGATCATGGAGTGTAAAACATCGGTTTTCTATCAAATCTTGATAAATGGGGCTCCAAGTAGAAAATTATACCCTTTCGAGAGGATTTAGGCAAGGGGATCCAATGTCTCCTTACCTGTTCCTCTTATGTGTTGATGTCTTTTTGAGTATTTTTAATGATTTGATCAAAGCTAGACAGGTTTTTGGAATCAGGGTGAGTCATGGAGGCCCTAATATCATCCCTCACTTGTTTTTCTTTTGCAGATAATAGTTTCATTTTCTTGAAGGTGAATTTAGATGAAGCCCAAAAGATTATGGAGGCCATTAAACTCAATGAACAAGCGTTGGGCCAACATGTGAATCTTAGCAAATCTGAAATTTCTTTTAACTCCAATATGCACCCTAAATTCAAGAAAATCATAGCTAAATGAATGCATTTAAAAAAAAAAAAGTTGAGAAACCCTCAACATATCTTGGGCTCCCCTATCATTTTTCCAGATCCAAGTCAAGGATATTTACTGAACCAAACAAGTAAAGAAGTGCTTAAAAAATCAGTTTTGAATGCCTTATCAACTTATAGTATGTCATGCTTTCTCTTACAGTTTTGAATGACCCAACTTTCTTTAACAAGGCACTCTTAGCTAAACTAGCTTGGAGGTTAGCAAGTGTCGATAAGAGTCTTTGGGCTAAGGTTTTGAGAGCCAAGTATGTAAAGCATAGGTCCTTCCTAAGGCTTAGTTTGGAAGGAGTGTATTTGTACTCCTTCCAAACTAAACCTAAATGAAAATTTGCCTCGAAATGGATCATGGATTGGAGGAGTGTGCTAGAAGGAAAGGAAGTCGTCTCCAAAGGTGTGTGTTGGTTGGTGGGATCGAAAAGGAGAATTTCCATCCGGTAGCTAGGACCCATGGGTCCTTGGTTTGCTTGGCTTCAAAATCTATGGGCCCAAACCTAGAACTCTTGGGGTATCCTTGGTTAAAGGCAGATTTTGTTGTTTTTGCTGAAGCTCTTGTAGTGTTAAGTGGTTTGCTCCTAGCCCTTGAGTTACGATTATCCCAAATCATTGTAAAAAGTGACTATAAACCTGTTGTGGACTGTTTGACTTATGCTAGTGCTGATTGTGATTCTAAAATCTCTACTATTATTAAATACTGTCTTCATTTTGCAATGCCTGTAATTGTTAAATTTGTGTGGGTTCCAAGATCAAAAAATATGGTTGCCCATGTAAAAGCTCAAAAAGGTTTGGGTGGTGCAAGTTGCTAGAAAAATGTTTGCCGGTTTTGGCTTTCAGGCTTGATCCAAAATGATTTAATCCCTCCCTAACGTCCTTCTTTGTTTCTTGTTTTTTGTCCTTTTTCTCTTCTCTAATGTTTTGTTTATGTTCCTAGTTTGTCTTTCTCTCTTGTTCTGGTTTGGTTTAATGATATTAGCTTTTTACCAAAAAAAAAAAAGAAAAATCTAAGTCCAACTCAAGCATTTATTTGGGTTACGTCTAATTTATACAATCACAATTCAAATTATGTTTTAATGAGAGTGCCCTATTTCCTATGCTATAGATAAATTTTTATTATTTTTTATATCCTAATGCTATTATTATTATTTTTTATTTTTATTAGTTTGTTATTATTTTAGTATTACTTTTAGGTAAAATTATAAAGAAACTCCTCATATAACCAAGATTCAAAATATCGATATGTATCAGGTCATATCAGTGGCCTCCCAGTACACCCCTATAGTGGGTGTTTCAAGATTAGACTTGGTTCAGGGGGTAGATATGCCTTAAACCGACCCCTCTAAAACAATTTGAAAAAAAAAAAAACTAAAAACACATAGAAGCGACCCTCAATACAAGCCAATATGCCCCAACCGGCATATCATCCTATATCAATATTTTGAACCTTGCTTATAACAATTCAAAAAACCACCCTTGTGTTTTTTTTTTTTTTTAAAAAAAAACTTGTGTTTTGATCATAGCAAAAACCTCCCCATATTTATTGAAGAAAAAAAGAGTACAAATACCTCCTTTTTGTTATCTTTTCAATGACAAAAATGCTAAATTTTACCAATATACTCTTATCATTCTTAAGGTGTTATTTACCTGACAACTTTCAAAGAGTAATTTTGTATACTCTTTTTGGAAAAAGTAAGGCTAAAAGGATGAATTGAAGTAAAAGGGAGCAACTATCTTTTTCAATGTATTTAGTAAATTTATATCCGAATGAAGTTGGGTAAATTTTATATTTTAAAAAATAATGCATCACATTGGCATTTCCCATTTGAAATGATGATGGAAGGAAGGTATTTGCACATTTTTTTTTCAAAACAATAGGGGGGGTTTTTGTTAAGGATGAAACATAGAGGAGGTTTGTAGGATAATCAGAAAAAACCCAAATGAAGCTTTTATAATTTTCCATGTTTTTAAATGGAATTTATATTTATTACAAATTAATTAAACTATATTAAAAAATAATAAAATTTTATTAATTTTTGTTTTTATTAATACTTACTAATTTTAATTAATCACATTAAGCTTTTTATTTCATGTGGAATTTAAGTTGGTTTAAAGTTAGTAGAAATTAGTTATAAAGTAATAATTGTTAGATAATTTTGTATTAGTTTTATATTAATTTTCAATGGTTGTTAGTTTTTAATTTATCTTATTAGTTTTTATTCATTAATTTATTTTTACTGTATTATAATAATATTTTTAACAATAATAATTAATTATTTTTATTTTATTTAAGTGATTTACTAAATTATGTTTACTATAGTTAATTATTTTTTATCATTTTCAAATGGAATATAAATGGATTATAATTTTTAGGATGTTTTATTCAATGTTTTCAACCTCTCATTAACTTAGTCAATTGAACCATTCAAACCGTGACTTGGCCCTATTTATAATTGTAGGTTTCATAAAGACCACTATTTTGTCAAACCCCATTGATTTGGTGAGGATTTATTCAATATGGGTAGTTGAACCATTGACCCTTTTTGACCCAACCATTTGGCCATGGGTTATAATATATAGTGTATTGAAAACTCCTAGATGACTTGACTTTGTGTTTGATTGTTTGATTGGTGTGATCTTTTATTTTTTTGGATAACTTTTCACAATCTTTGCAATCCCACCACACCAAAAAAAATCTCAATTTTTGCCTCAAAATTTAATTTTAGTATTTCTACTTATAAAAAATAAAAACTAAAATAAAAATTACAAATTAGAAAGATTATATACATACACGTAAAATATAATTATACACACACATAAATGGATAACGTGTCACAATTGGGTTGTCACAAATATAATTATACACACACATATTTGTTGAATGAAGTAAATAATATTTACCGTGTAAAGAAAAACTTGATTAATTAACTTAAAAATTAATTATCTTTTAAACATAAATATATTAATTAGCCTAATAATATAATTAATCATTAAATATCTTCATTTCAATATAACTACTTTCTATTAAGGATTTTTGGCTATGACAATCTATGAGCTTTGTAAAAAGGCTAATTTTTTACCCTAAAGAATAAAAACAGGCCATATTCGACCCTGGACTTTAGTAAAAAAGCCATTTGTGGGCAAAAACAGATAGTGTTTGAAACAATGTCAACAGATCTGTTAGACATTGTTATGTGGTATTGCTAAATTGTGAAAAAGGGTCACTTTCGACCCTAAAGTTTGAAAAATGGACCACTTTAATAAAGTCAATTTAAGTAAATTACTTCAAGGTCTAATTAAATGACCATAAAGTATAATTAAGTATTTAATTTATAAATTTATTTAATTAAATGATCATAAAGAATTTAATTAAGTTAATTAAGTAATTTAAAATTGCACTAATCGGATTGAATAAGATAATTAAGCAATGAACTAAGTAAATTAAATTAATTAAGGAAACAAAGTTAATTAATTAAATTAAATAAACACAACTAATCGACTTTAATAAGTGGATTAAACCAATTAAGCAAGGATTTAAAAATCAACCCAAAATGGAACCACCTTGGCAATCGATTTCTAGGTCAACAGTTTGATTGTCTAGTCTGAATGGATCAACCATGACATTTAAAAAAAATAAAAAATAAAATATAATTAAAATAAAAAATGACCCAAAACCCATTTACCATATTAAACAATTTAGCGGTTCAATTGTTTGGGATAATAGTTTATTGACCAAGTCCACATTTTATTTTTGAAAAATTTTGGGTCAAGTATAAAATGGAATTGGACAATTGACCAATTACTAGGTTGAATGGTTTGATCGCCCAAGTATAAAATGGAACTGGACAACTAACCAATTGTCAGCACCCAATTTTTGCTCAGACCCTTCTCTAACCCACTTTTCACACTCCAAATACCCGATCAGACCACATCACATGAAACCAAACCCTCAAACAAGCAATCATGCCAAATTCCA